AAAGACAAATATTATCACATTCCGAAAGAAATTGCTAATGCCTCATGAAATGAAAAAGTGTGGTGTCTAGCATAAAAATATATATATCGAAGCACATACTAGAAATACATATACACTGCAACAAAAGTTCCTGTCACATGATATAAAACAAGAACCTGATCAAAGTAGACGCACACATGAAATAATTCATATTTTCAGTGACAAGCAAAAACAACTATACTGGTTAATATCATTATCACTGACTTAATTACTATCACCATTGTTTTTGTATGTCATACTGCCCTTCTATTGTGTACTGCTATTATTATTGCTGTGCAGTATTTTTTATTGATTTGTAAGACTATTTAATTTTATAATACAATTGTTGATTTTTACCATTTTCTTTTTATTTGTTGGTTTCACGCTGAATTCTTTTACGTAAAAGTTTCTGGGTTAAATTATTGTTTCAATTCTGAAGTCAGCACTATGTTTTGATGAACGTGGAGGTTATACTCTCAATGAGAAGGACAACTGTGTCGAGAATGAACGTGTAGTGATTCTGACAAACCCGAATGACTGTTGAAAACTGAAAATGTGTACTCCACCATTGTTCAACTTGCAATTATATGACGTGTGTTGGCATTATTTCATTCAGGATGTGAATCAATGATCATATGTTGCCACTCTTTAGATTACACTATCATTGAAAACATAATCTTGTGTTGTGTTTTTATCGATCATCCAGCTCTACCTATACGTGTATGTACTATATGTGACTCCAGATACGCGTGGGCTATTAGGAAAGCCAACGAATCAGTATATATTAACATGCGTCCGACTTAGCCGATGACGCTTTAGTAATAGCTCGAATCTACGAACTACTTATGTGGGCTGCCAAGTCTCCAATGTGTAGCCACATATAATGTAGATTCCACGAACTTTATGTTGTGAAACAGTGTATGATACTCAATCATTTATGACTCCGGATCGGGAACAGAATGATATCTGTACATGCTATTAATACTGTCAACACACTATTAAACTTACACGCAACAGCCCTTGATAGAATATCACACGCAGTTGTTATGCCCAAAAACAGTATCCAGTAATGGTTCATTCCGACGCCTGTCACTTAACATGTCTCACATATGACATAAAAAAGGAAGTCGATATTTGCAAGAGTGATTTGCATGTCCAAGTAGGATATATTTTTTAGAGCAAACAAGTTTGAACTGATTAGGAAGTATTTATTAACGTTGACAGCTGAAATAAATCCACTAGCAGAAACACAATAGTAAAAAGACATCGCCTGATGTTTCAATGACCCATAACATATATAGAGAATGAATTATTGTCATATTAAATTACATAATTATCTAGTGAAAGTTTTTTTATGAGCTTCACAACCATGTTTTTATTTATTTTCAGATATAAAGGGTATATTTTAAGACAAAAACGTCATGTCATTACTCAATTTATAACTTCAGAATCTGCGAAGAAATGATAACATGTTAAGAGCAACTCAGGTGATAAAATGTAGCATTCTGTCAATCAACGCCTTTGTCATATATATATATATATATGAGTATATATATACACACGCACACACGCACACACGCACACACACGCACACGCACACACACGCACACGCACACGCACACACACAGACACACACACACACACACACATTTAGGTGAACACCAGAACTGCACATCATTTTTGTCACTGATGCGAAAGTCATCCTTGTTGTCATGCAGTGGGTAGTGTTTTGTCACTCTGAATCTGTATGCAATAATCTAAATATGAAACAGATGAGGCGGTCTCACTGTTCTTCTGTATTTCTAGTTCAGGTGGGTAAATCAGTGGAAGAGAATTGGCTATTTGATGATCATTGAACGGTATCAGATCAACATACCTGGAGCTTAAGTTTAACTTGGCCAAATCATTAGTTTTGACTTTGCCGATCCGAGCAGAAATCCCGAGAAAGTAAATTACAATGAAGATTGCCTACCTAACATAAATTTATATATATGCTATCATCAAATGCAACAACCATTTTAAAACATTTATCAATATATATAAATGTTTTAAAATGGTTGTTGCATTTGATGATAGCATAATAATAAGCATATTAGATTTGCTGGATACTCATAAAATTGTAAATGAATGTCGCAATGCTTTATATTTTTATAGAAATGAGTAAGAAGTGATATTCATATTCTGTATATGGCAATATATATATATATATTGCACAATCTCTCATTTCCAGTTTTCCAATATACCGACCAGTTTCTACTCGTAGTTTATGAGAACCCAATCTAAACAACTGAGCAAGTTTCAAATAGTTGACAACGATGGTTCAACACATGGCTTTGAACAAGGAGTATCAAAATGTCTGTGTGCCTTTCACTAATGCAGAATGTCAGGCTTGTTGATTCGAAACTTTTAGTCTATATAAAACTTAATTTCGAACCATCTGTTCTTGCCAAACAAATCCGAATCCACAGAGCTGTAATGTGTTTTTAATGCCAGATGCCCAGCTTTTACAACAACTACTTTCCATTAGTACAATAAGTTTATAACATTTCTTGACAAAACGCTCATTTGACATTTTCAATACTTTACACCAATATTTCATAGACCTATGGATGATATAAATATGCAATGGATATCTTCAACATTCGCCTCGCACAACATGCGCTGGCACAGAGAATAAATACCTAAATATCGTTCAAAGCTGCTAAATGTACAATTTCTATTTCCTTAACAACATTCAGTCCCCATATTTCCGCACCGTATTATTAAATAGGAAAAATATCTTAAAGATCAAGTCAAAAGGAAACGAATGTGACCTAAATATACCAAATAATACCTGCTTAGCCTGATATATGCTTGGTCTGTACCAATGATCTACCGAAAGAAACAGATCAGCGATAAGGGGAGCGCAATTGGTACCCATGGGGATGCCTACGTCTTGCCTAAATGTCTTACCCCCAAAGGTTACATAGATATTATCAATGAGAAAGACTAGCTTTTCGATATTGTTTTCTCAGTAGCCTGCAGATGGCATTTGCTTTCATTTTTGACATATTATCCTGAACCTCTGAAGAAAGATATGTAACTTTATCTACGGTCACCACATTTTGTAACAAAAGCCCCATGGATCAAGGAATGAAGTGTTTCCTCTAGTTGGTCATACCCTCCGCTTCACCGTGAAGACCCGGGTTAGAATTGGTCATCATCAACCAATACTTGTAAGACTATCGGGATCGGGTGGCCAGGATCGCTGACTTGGTTGAAGCATGTTAACGCATACCAACTGCGAAGATCGATGCTCTTGATGTCAGTCACCTGTTCGCCCTGATCATGTTGTCACGGTGTTTCAGCAAAACACCCGCACTTCCTTCATCACATCGGGATTTCCTCCCACATCAAACAGACACGCCTTGATATAACAGAAATACTCTGCAAAGCGGCGTTAAACCTAACAGACGCGTTTACTCACAATCAGGAAGTAAACGTTTAACAAAGACTTCAAAGGAGGAAGTATTACTTTATTCTATACATGGAATTCATGTCACTACTGAGCATATATACAGCTAGTTGCAATGGCATTATATGAGTAGAAAAAATAGTCGAACACAGGCATTTCGTTCTTTACGTTTCTTGCAATATTTAGTCTTGTACATATGCCACAGAGATACGAAACAGAATATCCATGATTCAACCAAAATCAAACACAGCCTAATTAAAGCAATGGAAGGAAGTCACTCGTCCGTCCGTCTTCATTTCCTGGTTGCTCTAAGGCTGAACATCCCCGATAATCTCTCTCTCTCTCTCTCTCTCTCTTTCTCTCTCTCTCTCACTCTCTCTCTCTCGTTCTCTCTCTCTCTCTCTCTCGCACACACATACTCGCAGGTGAACAAGTGATCATGACTTGCATTCGGATGTGCCTTTGCACCGGTGAGGCAAGATGCGCTTTTCTCGAAACACATATCATCACCATGTGATAGTGATTCGTCAACGCATGCTCAATATCTAGTTGGAATTGTACAATGGGCTCCGCTAGTTGGCTTTTTAATATGAGGTTCTTCGTCTCTTGATCAATAAACCGTGTACATGTACGCCCTTTACTTGTGCTGACCATCCCTGGGAAGAACACACATATCCCTTGATTACATCATCTGTTACCCAGTAGGGGCGGTGGGGTAGCCTAGTGGTTAAAGCGTTCGCTCGTCACGCCAAAGACCCGGGTTCGATTCCCGACATGGGTACAATGTGAGAAGCTCCTTTCTGGTGTCCCCCGCCTTGATATTGCTGGAATATTGCTAAAAGCGGCGTAAAACAATACTCACTCACTCACTGTACTATAACAATTCCTGTACAACTTGAATCGTGTCAGAACTGGCCCCTGACCTGACGCCGCCTCCGTGGTCTTGTGGTAGAGCGTCCGCCCGGAGAGCGGAAGGTCCGGGGTTCGATCCCCGGCCGCGTCATACCAAAAGACGTTAAAAGATGGTACTTGTTGTTACCATGTCTGACGCTCGACATTAAGGGGCTAAAACAAGGACTGGTCGGCTCGGAGTCAGTATACTGTGTCTGAGTGGGGTATTCATGTTAAACTGCGGCATGGTATCTCAGTGAGCTAGCACTATAAATCGGCATCAGTCCGGACTAGTACAAGCAGCCACACACACACACACACACACACACACGTGCATGCACGTCGCTATATAAGTGTAATAATCTTGGACGCGACGTTAAACCCAATTTCACCTCACCTCACCCTGATCTGACTGACACTAATATTCAAATCAGTTCATTTGGGCAGATATGTACCTTTCTATTTGCAAGATGCACATTCCATAGTATTGTAAATATACACGTAGTGTGACAAGAACGGATGCATTTAAATGCATTTGGTGAAAGTCATATTCATCGAATTTTACATTAGTTGTCTAACGATCTATTCACTGAGATTCTATAGTAAGCCGGAAAATGAAATCGGATTAGAAAACCAAAAGGAACCAATGTTTAGTTACAAGGAAATACAAAGGCTTTGTATGTTTTATATGTAACTATGCCATGTGCAGTAAAACACGAACCGATTTAGCTGATTCAAGGCGGTCACCATAGAGCACAGAAGGAAGTATTCACATCACATTTGTTGAACACATAATTTCTTGTTTTGGAAGATTAAAACTTCATATTGTTATCAAGTTTGATTAACGCGAACATGTGTTTATATTCTGTCCTGAAACAAATTGACTCCAATTGTCTTTGCTTCCCGATTTCAAGACGCCAGCATGAAACATAATCATCATAGCTCGATAGTCAGTATTACAGTATTAGGCATTATTTAGTTCTAATGATTCAGCCATGGTGGAAAGTATAACAGAAAATGAATTCATAATGTGTCCGCGCGTTCGTTTTGTTTACAGCACACAGGAGGAAAACATGGTTACAACCCCGCATCCGACAAACACTGAGACTGAGATCACGCGTCCATCTGAAACATAAAAAGACAAAAAATATTAACATGAAACTGACACCTTCATCGTTAACCCTTTACTTACATGTAAAGACGTATTACGTAATAGTACACATTATGCAGATACTATAAAATCCATGTTATATTTCAAAGGTAAAACAACACAGTGCGTGTACGCTACGCCACTCATGAAAATATCTTCCTTTTCTCTGTCACGAGATGAGAAAAACATTATATTTCACTCCACACATGAAATATCCTCTTACTTATATACTTTTTGTTTAGTTCTCTCCGTAAAATTAAGTATTTCATTATAAATGTAATATGTAGGGTCAAACAAACTATTTGTGATGAAATATACGTGTAGTATATTCTTCAAAATATATTCTTTAAAACTAGAAGACCGTACAAAAATGGCGCTTTGCAGTCTCGATTGACGAGTTAAGTGAGAGTGAGTGAGTGAGTTGGGTTTTACGCCGTTTTAAACAGTATTCCAGTTATATCACGGCGTGTCAGCTTAATGTGGGAGGAAAGCCCGAGTGATGCAGGTCTCAGACGTTTACCACTTCGGTGAAACCCACGAGCACGGGTATGGTGCTGACAAACCTAGAAATATAATCGGGGCGAACCGGGATTCGAACCCACAATCATAGGTTTCTGGCGTGTCCAAGGGACGCAACTCTGCACATCGAATCGCGGCGCCTTAGACGACTGGGCCACACGTGCCCCCGATTTAAGTGAGAAATTAACAGTTGATGACGACACATTTTCGAGAGAATCACAAACGGAAAGAAGTGATATTTACTCCATAAATGGCCATCTGTCATTATTTTGCGATGTCAACGTGAAACTAACGTCAAAAGGACGTCAACGGTGAGTGTACGGGCAAGACACTTACGATAAAGGGAGACAATTAACGGGGAGGTAACTCTTGTATGACAATAGTTCCCTCAAAGTCTTATTTTCACTGCAGTGGAATATCAAGTGTTATGTTCACTGCAATGAAAATTTTTTTTTTTCTTAACTTCAGAAAACTCAGTCTTTCACTCTGAGTGAGTGAGTGAGTTGGGTTTAACGCTGCTTTTAACAGTATTCAAGTCATATCACGGCGTGTCAGATTAATGTGGGAGGAAAGCCCGAAGTGATGCAGGTCTGAGACGTGTACCACTTCGGTGAAACCCATGAGCACGGGTATGGTGCTGACAAACCTAGAAACATAATCGGGGCGAACCGGGATTCGAACCCACAATCATAGGTTTCTGGCGTGCCCAAGGGACGCAACTCTGCACAGCGAATCGCGGCGCCTTAGACGACCGGTTTACCTGTGCTCCCTCTTTCTCTCTGAAGTATATAATAAAGTATACTCTTCACGATTACAGTTTAACGGACCTGCAGGTGATACAGTGTTGGGAGGGTTCGCAGCTGGTTCTTTGTTCAAGCTGCAGGTCTGATTTCCATCATCGATGTTGTTTGTCCATGACATTTCTGTAAGTAACAGTTGGGTGTAGACATGAATGTATTCATTGAGATCACAACATTTCTCTTTTATTTCAGCTTCACACATTATGGTTGTGAGAAGCAAGCTGATATGGTATTGTTTATTAACCATAGTGTGCAAGAATTGAATCAAAGAGCAGCTGTGACACGAAATTTACTGTTAAAAACGTGTAGTGAACTATTATGCTTTGCCTGGACATTTGACACGAATTTTGAATTGAAAGCTGAATAAATGCATGTTCACTAATGCCCTTAGAAATATTCTAGGTAAATCAAGGACGACATACTGTACATTATCCAGTCTCCAATAGTGGTTGACATCATGAGCAGAAGTTACAAATTAATTGTTGTTTTAGTTGGGATACCCTTGTGTTTTTGACGCACCTGTGCTAACAAGGTCGAGGCGATGTCCGCAACCAGAAACTCGACTTCCATCTGCCTTGGTACAGTAGTACATGCCTACGTAGGTGGATGTAACATTGTTCAGCACAATGTGGGCGGTGGTAGATGACGAGGAGGCGACAACTTGTGCAATCCTCCATCTCAGGGTGTCACTGCGCCAAGCGTAGATTTTGGAAGGGTTCACACGGATGACGGTTTCATCAGCAGGAGACTTGATATTCACATCTGACACAATCAGGGGCATGTTCCAGGTCATCACGGCGTTAGTTCCCTCGCGAGCATATGTGACGTCCTTGTGCTCTGATCTGGAATCTATAAAGCACTAATTAATGTACATGCTAAACAACCTCCAGTTTAAACCGTTAACATTGTGGACATTGTTATGGATATACATGTATGCATTCATTTCTTGTAGATAACTACATAAAAGATGTAGGGTAAAGGGCAATAATTTGCAACAAATCACAAATAGCTAGTTATCAAATACAGTAAGCTACGGTTATAACGAACACAAAAGGATCACTAATTTTAGTTCGTAATAACCGTAGTTCGTTATATTCATATATATGTTCATATATATATATATGTGTGTACATACACAACATATATACAACAAATGGCCGGGAATAAAGTTCGTTATATCGGTCAGTTCGTTATAAGCGTGTTCGTCATAAACGTAGTTTACTGTACATTGAATGATACAATTATTATTCAAGCCTCCGTAAATTGCAGGGGCGGTGAGTTTGTCCAAAGGTTTTGGCCTTTGCTCTTCACGCCAAAGGCCCGGCTTCGAATTCTTGCATTGGTACACCGATTTCCCTGATGTCCCCCTCCGGTGTATTGCAGAAATATGTCTAAAAGCGGCGTACAACCGTATTCACTCACACAGCTGATTATTTCTAAATAAGGTGCACTTAGTTTAATGGTGTGAATGCGGTAAAAATTTGCTTATTGTCCAGGCAATACTTCATAGAAAATCACAAAGCCGAACGGGGCGTTGTGTTACCTTTCAATTCCACTTCAATCTAATTTATTTAATGACATCAGCATAATGAACACTATGTACACGTGCATGCGACAACCAGCTACTTACAGTCCTTTCCCAAGACGTATTCCTCGCTCCAGCTGGACCTTATCTGACCCTCAAATACAGCTTGACACGAGTATCGTTGTCCGCAGTCCTTCTTCTCGACACCGGTGATGGTCAGATTACTGTAGAAATATTTCCATGTGTTCCAAATCATCATATTTGCGGCCATTTTATACCTCTCGCCTTCCACCAGTGCTACTTCGTTCTCCCGCCAGGTGAATGTTATCTCTGGATGCAGGTACTTTGGTAGGATGGATGTGTAACATGACAGACGAACACTGCTGCTTCCTGGCGCCACTGTGTCCGGGACCACCATGAAATGTGTGTGAACCTCTGGAAAGACAGAATAGACATGTCAGCATAAGCTCAGATTCATGCGCCCGCGATCACCTGGTGTCATCACTGATTTTCAGAAACCCAGTCATATCACTTTCATCCTTTTGCCTGTACCGTCCTATGGAAGTCCTTTCGTCGGATAACCTGCGTTGACATTATCTATTTAATGGATTGAAATGGTGGTGTAACTTACGCCGCAATCGGCAAAAGTGTAGCTTTATTATATCTGCCTGTCATTAATTAAGGGGCGGTCGGGTAGCCTAGTGGTTAAAGCGTTCGCTCGTCACGCCGAAGACCCGGGTTCGATTCCCGACATGGGTACAATGTGTGAAGCCCATTTCTGATGTCCCCCGCCGTGAAATTGCTGGAATATTGCTAAAAGCGGCGTAAAACCATACTCAGTCAGTCAGTGTCATTAATTATATCTGGGAGACAACCCAGTAATTGATATGGGGGGCAACGGAAACGCTGGCTGGGTGCAATGACACACAATTAACCACCCTAACCACCCGCCTTACCACCCGATCAATTTCTGACAACCACTTAGGTGCAGGAATCCATTCTTGCTCGGAACTCCACATATGGATTTGAATGAGATTAGAATTTGATTTCGCAACCGGTATAATTAATATAATTTACTATAATCCTTTATAGATCTCAGATAAACATTCAGATCGCAACAGGTAAGACATGTGATTAAAATAACCAATTGTGAATGTCTGAATGTACTGTTAACAATGTCCTATAGCATACAGCTTATATACGTAATTCAAGAACGTGTTAAAAATAATCATTTGTTTTAATGTCTGGTGCTTACGTATGACATCAAGATTCACTCCACACTCGGGAATCCAGTTTCTGCCTGAGCCACTTCCGAAGCATCTGTACTTCCCAGCATCGGTCAGCTGAACATCATGTAGAATGAACCTGAACACTCCAACTCCCTGTGACGTTAGGTTACCAGTGAATTGTATCCTCTTTCCAAAGTTGTGTTCTAACGTTGTGTAATCAGTAACGGTAAGTAAATGTTTGTTCAGGGACTCATCCTTGACGGTGAATTTTCGGACACCTGGCGGGTGCTGAGTCCATGACAAGGTCACGCTATGACCTTGGCGACCATATACAGTTGATGTTGCTGAAACAAAATTATCAGTTGTCAAAGTTTACTAATCCAGTTCAAGATTATACGATTCATTCGATAAATATGTCGTTTCATAACAAATCTTATCTGATATTTATTTTATCAACGGCTTTAGCTTTCTGGACGTTCACACAATCAATATTCTATCTGTCCAAATTTTGTCAAACCACAGTTTTCGAAAAACCAGCAAACTACCGTCCTGTGATAAAATGAATATGTATAGTTATGTTCGATAATATTGACAAAAACGATAACTATTAATACGAGAAAATACTTATTTCCTTCTACATGTTGGTAATTAAATGAAACTACAGACCTCATATCCCTCACCTTGTGTGGAAAATGTGTGCTAGATCAGTGCCCCCTTGATATGACATTCAGGGAAATCTAGTGAATTCCAACTGCATAAATTTCATATGCCTTTAAACGATGTTCCTTGGCGAATGCCTAGGAGAATCTATACTAACGTTTAACTTGTCCACCATGAGTAAACGAGGTTTCGCTATTATGAATGCTTATAATGATATGCTGCACAAGTACTCACCTTCCGAATTATGAAATATTCCAAAATGAAACGAATATACAATACAGACACTTATGGTCCCGAACATAGAAGGCTTCATGTTGGTGTCAGAACTGACGACTGAAGCAAACACAGTAACTACTGAAACGATGTCCTAATGAACTAATGAAGACCTACTTCAACTGAGCGTTTGTTATATGCCTTCCTCGTGTGGGTCAAATGCTTTATACATTTCTCGATGAAAACGAAACAGAGTTGAGTGGAAATTTTTTGTTTCCGGGTTGCATATTAAAACAGTCAGAGCTGTTATGAAAAAATGACGATTCTCTATATAACCTCTCATCACAATAAGGAAAAACAACCTGCTTTTAGATTTTGATTTCAGATTTTGTTTTTATGTACATGTACACGTATCACAACTGAAAGTATTGCACCGACATATAAATGTTGGTTTAATTTATAATGTATGATGCATCCTTGATGACTTTCAAGCAGACAATTGTTATACTATTGCATTTGAATTTGTAACATGACACGAGGAATACCAAATACCAAATGTCTTTTAAAATGGCCAACATAAATATGCGTGCGTGCGTGCGTGCGTACGTACGTGCGTGCGTGTGTCTGTTCTTGAGTTTGTGTGCGCAAGTTTTTATGTGAGTTTCAGTGTGAATGTTACTCTGTGTGTGTTTGTGTGAATTTGTGTGTGTTTATGTTTGTGTGTGTATGCGAGTATTTGTGTTAGTCTGTGTATATGTGTGTTTGTGTGAGTTTGTGTGTACGTTTATGTATGTGTGTGCATGTTTGTGTGTGAGTGTGTGAATGAGGTGTGTGAGTAATGTATGCATGTCGTACAAGGTCGACATAGGACCGCGTTGGGGGACAGGCTGGGTTGACTTTGGTTCATGGTACCCTGCTCAAAATATCAGCGACTGGTGTGTCTGGTCTATTATTCAATTATTCACACACTATTGCAATAGGTGAAACAGAACAGTTACTACAGAGCTAAACAACAAACAAAAAACTGTACGTTGGGGTACAACGTAAGCGCACTCAGCAATATTCCAGCTGCAGGACGGAGGTCTGTATATAATCAAATCTGGTCAGGACAATCCAGTGATTAACATCATGAGCATCGATTTACCTATAGGATATGATGACATGCATCATCCCAATCAGCAAGCCGGACCCCCGATCCCGTAAGTCGCCTCAATGACAATGTCGGGTGTTGCTGAATTCCACCTCTGACACTGATCTCCGCAGGGTAATGTATGCAGATTCCGAGGATGAAACATGAACACATGCTTCACAAGACGCCAGAAAACGTCAACGTCAGCTGTAAAAATAGTTGTCGTGGTTGTCGGTTCAGCTTGATTATGTGTGCTAGTTTCAGTCCCTCATCAGTGAGACATCTGCTACAACAGATTTACATTGCCTGCTTCCTTGAAATATTGTCGCTTTCATCGACCTGGTATTGCTACAAAAGTTTCCTTATTCAAAAGTCAATGGAAATCGATAAAAGAGAATGGAAAAGTCAATTTGGCATCGTATGTGAGGCAAATGTTATTTAATAGCGTATCGTATGTGTGGTTATTCCAAGATGTTGTGATAAGAACATATTTTTATCCGCATTTAGAAGACGCCTTACATCAAGGTATCAGAGTCGTCTACTTCTTAGTGAAACCTGTGATATTATTATGCTAATATAAAATCTCTTCTGCAACCCAAATTATACATAACAGTGCTCAGGGCAAACGATCAGTTACAGCAATGTGAAAATTTCGAATATCTCTTCACAACTTTCGAGTCTACATTATTTTTAAAAGGTCATTGTTAAATATACCTCATACATAATATATGTGTAAAGAATGTGACTTTCATGTAGTAGAGGATGAAAACCATGCTTTTGTGTATGTACGAAATATATTATTTGAGAAATAATTTTTTAGCTCATTACAGAAATATTATAAAGGTAATATTACGTTTAAAATTTATTTAAATCATGTGATAATAATGTACTACGCTTGACAGCTTTATATTTATGTAAATTATCTAAAATGAGATCAACAGATGTAATACTCTGGACATGTATCCTAAAATGTTATTTATCTTAAAACTGTACTGTGGGCAATGCGGCGTGAATTACGAATAAACTTGATTGATAGTGGAAAAAGTACGTAATACAGAACTAAAACAAGACTATTGTGAATGACATTTGTTAATGTACAGACGTGAAACGAATGAACGGGACATTATTTGTATCGTGAGAAATTAGAATAATGAAATGCATTGCCTCATCTAACGTGAACAACTGTAGAAAGAAGTGCCCGGTAATCGCTATACCTTTCGTATGTAGGCTGGTGACAAGCGCTCTGTTAGCTGTGACATCTGCCACAACGGAAAAGAAATCCAGACGTGTAATTACATGCACCACCTGCTCATATCGGCGTTCAAAACAACCTTGTATTGGAAACAAATACCAGGATAAAATCTGAAAGTCACCTTACAAAAAAGTAAAAATCAATATTCTAAAAAAATGCTTATGTTTTTTTTTTTGTTTTTTTTTGTTTTTGTTGTTTTTGTTTAACGCAGCACTCAGCAATATTCCAGATACATGATGGCGGTCTGTAAATAATCGAGTCTGGACCAGACATTTTAGTTACTGACATCATGAGCATCGATCCACGCAAATGGGATTGATGACATGCATCAACCAAGTCAGCGAGCTTGACCATCCGATCCATTTAGTCGCCTCTTACGACAAGCATAGTCGGTTCTATGTAGTATGGAACATGTCTTCACGTCAGATTTACAGAGTAAGCAAGTTACAGAGAACACTGTTGGTATTACCCTCACTCCTGTTCCTAAATATAGGCTTCCTATAGACAGAATACCAGCATATCAAGAATATGTTTTTAGCAGAGAAAGTAGTCGAATGTTTGACGATTTTATTTCTGTTTTGCAAACTGACATAAATACTGCAGTCAGGAAATTAGCTGATATACTTATCTACTGTGGGGAAAAGGCGGGGGCAGTCTGTAGATGGTCTAGAAATAAAACCTCTGAAGAGCAACCGTTATGGTTTGATGCAGAGTGCTGTCAACTTAACTCTAGGAAATACATGCTACTAAATCGTTTCAGATCATTCAAGTGTGACTCAAACTTAAAAGACTATTTATGTGCAAAAACTGAATTCAGAAAAAAGTGTAAAACTAAACAAAATGAGTATAAAATACATATGAGTAAAAAATTAACCGAGGCTGCACATATGAGTGATTGTAAAGAGTTCTGGAATACTATAAAGCACTATTTGAGAAGTAACGCACGACAAGGTGATATAACCCCTGACACTTGGTTTAGATATTTTAAGAATTTATTAAATCCAGATTTTAACAGAGATGTAAATGAATTTGATAAATCAGTTCAGGATTTTTTAGATTCCCATTCATGTCAACATTGTAATTATATGCCTTTTACTGACCAGCTCTTATCAGGTGAAATTACTGAAAATGAAATTAAACAAGCTTTAAATGGGTTAAAAGTGGGTAAAGCAGCCGGTGAGGATGGTATACCCCCTGAATATATGAAAAGTATAACAAATTTCATAAACCCGTATCTTAGGCTGCTTTTTAATAAAATTCTAGATACTGGTGTTTTTCCAGATTCCTGGAATATAGGAATGATTATTTCTCTACATAAATCTGGAAACATATCTGATCCAAGCAACTACCGAGGTATTTCTCTCTTAAATGTGACTGGCAAATTGTTTTCTGCTGTAATTGAAAAACGTATTAGAACATGGTTAGATGAGAATGACCTGTTATCAGAATCCCAAGCTGGATTTAGACCCAACTATTCTCCATCAGACAATATATTTATTCTTCAATCTTTGTGTACAAAATATCTTATCAAACCCAAGGGCCGTTTTTATTGTGCCTTTATCGATTTCAAAAAGGCTTTTGACTATGTGGATAGAAAGAAAATTATGTTTTTATTAATTACTAAAGGATTAACAGGCAAATTGTCAAACGTTCTACAGAGCATGTACTCATCAGTTAAGGCATGTATCAAGACAGATAAAGGAATCACTGAATGTTTCAGAACTTCAGCTTGTGTAAGACAGGGCTGTGTACTCAGCCCTGTCCTATTTATATTTTTCATAAATGAACTTGTAACTGAAATGTATCATGAATGTGATTACGGAGTTTTTGTGTCACAAGATATAAATGATATAATGCTGTTACTATTTGCTGATGATATTGCTTTATTATCATTTTCAGTTAGTGGCCTCCAGAAACAGTTAAATGTTCTCCAGCTATATTGTGAGAAATGGGGCCTTGAAGTAAATTTGAAAAAGACAAATGTTATTGTTTTCAGAAAAGGTGGTATTCTAAATAAATTTGAAAAATGGACGTATTGTAATAAGACAGTCAATATTGTTTCATATTATAAATATTTAGGATTGACTGTATCTTCTCGGTTAGCATGGTCAACAGCTTGTAAGCAGTTGGCTCTGCAAGCATCTAAAGCCTTGATTCCTGTCTATCGAGTTTTCAAAGAAAACAAATTTATATCTTTCCGAGTTGTTTCGGACATTTTTGACAGAAAAATAGCACCAATTCTGCCGTATGGTTCAGAAATATGGGATGTCATTATAATGATTCCATAGAAAAAAATCATGCCATGTACTTTAAACGTTTTTTAGGTGTCGGTAAATATGCCTCTAACAAAGCCATTCTAGGAGAAACTGGTCGTACCAGTCTTTTTGTTTCATCCCAGCTACGGGCAGTTAAATATTGGATAAAGCTACTTCGTATGAATTCAAATAGATTTCCTCTTCATTGTTATAATATGTTAAAAGCCTTGGATGAAAAGGGTAAATATTGTTTATGGGTGTCTGATATCAGAAATATTCTTTGTATGTCTGGTTTTTCTCTTGCATGGATATCTCAAGATGTTTGAAATGATAAACTATTTATCTTCATGCTTAGTTGATATATTTTCACAAGATTGGCACTGTCAAATATCATCCTCAAGGTTTTTATGCCATTATACGAATATAAAATCTTTACCTGTTTCTGAGAAATATGTATCTGTACTTCAGGATAGAACTTTGAGAAGATCTTTGTGTAAATTACGTATATCATTACATAATTTTAATGTTAACAATCTCA